TAGGGAAACCCACAAAGATGCCATAAGGTGAGTATGGCTTAAGGCTGTGACTATGATGGTGTAGATAAATGGGACAAAAATGAAAAAGAATCTTGAGGAAAGTGCAACAAAGCTTATAAACTAAATATGGTGCCCAGAGGAACAAGAAGTGATGAGGAGTTTTTCAAGGTGTAGATTTCAGTAGTTTGCTGCTGGAAGAAGTGCTTTAAAGACTGTTGAGCAGGTAGGGGATGGGAATGTAGGTCACTGTCTCCTAAATTTCCTCAGTGGGACTCTCATAGAAAGCTCTCCCATAGGCATTAAGAAAAGCAGGGTATTACATAAGTTTCAAGGAGCTTTCTTTGTTGTTGTTGTTGTTGTTTTTAGTCAAAACTAAAACTAATGATAACTCTGTTCTCTTAGATGTGTGTTTTAATTTAGTAAGACAGGAAACATTTATTCTATAGAAGACTCTTAAAATATATTTTAAACAAGCAACTGACACATACTTACCAGTCAATAGAATTTGCATCAACCCACCCCAGACACCGCTAATCTGACATGGACTAACAATTAACTAAACTTCTTGCTTCTCACTGTTAAGAGTATATCATTCTGGCTTAATGCTTTTTCTTCTAAATGATGCTTAATCTTTTGAAGTAAGAACATCTATTATTCTCTCCTTGCATATGTCTTCAGTTTCTTCTGTCTTCTTTGCTCATTTAAGAGTGTTTTCTCCCATGGTCTAGTCCAGGGCTTTATGGGCACAGAGCAGTATCTTTCATTCTTTCCAACAGCAGTAGAGGGTAATTGCAGCCATGTTTCCACACGTGGCCCTCCTCCCGAGGCCAGGTGTATGCTAAGGTTATTCATCCTCACCACAGCCTAGGTATTATCTTCATTGTACAGGTGTGCAGATCGAGGCTCCGAGAGATGAGTTGACTTCACACAGGTTACATGGCAGGTACTTGGTAGAGCTGGGATTCAAGCCCTGATCTGTTGGATTCCAAAGCCCACACTTTTCCCACCATAGGCATAGTCTCAAACCATTTTATTTAAACACAGTTTTTTTGATGTACCTCTTTGAGCCGCCCATGTACCTCTGGATTTCTTACTAATTTTTATTTTTTGTAAGAAAAAATTGTAGCTTTTCTATTAAGTTTAGATTTTTAATGCATGAGGTAAGAACATTAAAAGTTCATACCTAACAGTAAGCCTTCCAAATTGATGGTATTAAATCATTATAGTCCATAAAAAATGAAACTTCTCTTTTTCTTTTTTTTAGGAGTGGATATGTCACTGCCTTTTTGGAGAATGCTTCATTAGTTTTCAAGTTTTGTTTATCTGAATAAAAGTACATTCCTGTTAAAATTCAACTCAGCAAACACTGAATACTTAGCATGTAGTCACTAAAGATTAAACAGTGTCATGGGGCACAACAATGAATGAAATCCCTGGCATTAAGGAGCTCTTTCACACTCTAGGTCAACAGGAAAACATGGAAATAAGTCTATAATCCCTGCCCCAGATGACGCTCCCACACTCAAGGCCTTATTGTACATTTCATTTAACTAAGTGTGTTGAAATCAATTCTAAATGTAGAATTTTTCCTAGGTATGCCTTGCAATAGCTCATTATTCCCAGCCAACAGACCTCCAGCTACTCTTTGCATTTGAATATGTTGGGAAAAAATACCACAATTCAGGTAAATATGAAAATATTAACTATTGTGACTAACTTTACATTGTCTAAATTTTATTCTTATGTTTTATTAGAAGCCTCCAAGTACATGAGCTTTAATGATTGTAGAATTATTAGCTTCATAACTGTTAGAGAAGTAAGCACTATATACTAAAAGAGATAACATTTGTCAGATAACATTTAAAAAGTGACGGGGAAGAACTTATAAGCAACTGTAAACATAGGCTTATGAGAATCATGTCAAGTTTTGCCTGTAGTCACTGGCTTGTATTTTATGATGAAGGAAGATACCTCTCCCTCCCCGCCTGTTAGTTGGTAACTTGAGTTAAAGTAATCTTATCTTTTAAGAAAACTGGCAGAAAATTAAAAGATATTTGAAACTCATGATCTTTTTTGGCAAGGTGTGATTTCATGCAGAAGCTGAAATGGCTAAACTTTTTAGTGGACTTCATTAAGATTGTCAGAATATTGATTTTATATTTCTGAATAAGATTGATGAAAGGAAGATGAGCATTCATCCAAAAGACAAGTGTATTTTAAACGGTTTTTATAAAAGCGAATAGTTCTGTACACATATATGTCAGTGATGACATCACCAAGGAATATTCCAAGTGATCGTGTAATTCTGTGCATTCTTTTTATATACAAATAATTGTAATTTTGATCAACCAATTTTCTTTTTTTTAACCTCATAAAAGGCTAGAGAAAAAACAATGAGGTCATGTCTGACATTAGCTCCTCGTAGGTTAGTGACCACATGTCCATTTGCCTGCTGGATCATATGCTCTCCCAGCCTTTAAGGGAGAGAGATGACTCAGCTACACGTTTATAGTGAAAGGGCCGTTCACCCCAGCCAGCATGGTCTGGACGGGCAGCCTATAAATTACTAATTTTACTGGTCCTTTACATTTTGTTACCTCAGAACATATATAGTAATTTAAATAATCTGTATAATAAAAGTATATTCCAATATCACTGTATTGTAAATTCATTAAAATGTAGGAACAATACACAGTATCTGCAGATGCATATGGTATAAGTACACTTGTAAACACCATAGAGATGATATGCAAAGATCATAGCTTTTATCTTATGGTACTAACAGAAATGGGATAACGAAATACTTATAATTTAATTTTTCTTACCACAGTGCAACTAATTGTAACCTAGGCTTGAAAAATACAATTAATTTTTAAAGTTTATTTCTTAACATAAGGAAAATTCACTTATTGTCCGAAAATAAAGTATTGTAGATCCGCACTAGTAGCTAGGCAAACATTCCTTTGGTGCATCTTCAGGCTGCAGACCGTGATCATCAGGGTTATCCTCAACAGGACTCTCACCCAGAGTTGTGAGAGAGTAACTGAGATGAAAGCTTCAAGGGGCACAAGAGTCGTGGGAGAGCCTTTGATTCCCACTTGCATTTGTTGATGATCAAGACCAATTCTGAATGATACCTTTTTCCTAGTAGAAACGATTCAGTCCAGGGTACAGACCCCTGAGTTCTGCACAATGTTCAGCAAGTACCGTGAACTTCATTATGCGTTTGGTGACGTGATGCCTGCTTCAGTTACTTCTCACGGTTGTCTTCATCCGTTCCTCGTGGGCATCTCTGGGTTGATAGCAGTTTATTCAGTCCATAGCTTTCCTACTACTGGTTTCCTTATTCCCGTCAGTCACTTCTCTGTATCTTCTCATATGTAGCTTGTGGAGAAAATAACGATTGATAAGTATCACTTAAAATATTCAGGAACACTTTTTATATTGCATCCTTCAGACTCCTCCTCCTTGACAGTCACTTCATAAACATAACACTTGGCCAAAGTTTTGTTAAGATTCCTCATAGGGTAACATCCTTTCATATCCTTCCATGCTGTTGCAGAAGCATAAACTGCACCTTTAAGAGCAAAAGAAGCCTGAAATTTCCACACACTGCAGTCAGAATTCATTAATTTGTGAGTGAAAGAGGCCCAATAATCCACTCTTGAACTTCTGGATGACACCTTGATTCATTGGCTGGATTAAAGAAGTCCTTTTTGCAGGCAGGTAGGTGACAAAGCTGTTTCCACAAATAAGATGTGAAGCTAGAGGATGTCCCCTGCAATTGTCTAAGAATCTTTTAGCTGGCCTTAGGCCTTCTGAGGTTTTCTTTTGTGTTCGGCATCACTTGAGTGAAAAGCCAGTCATCCAGGTACTTCTGTGAGGATCCTGAAGTATGGGAGATGCCCAGCACCCACAGGCTTCGGGACACTCCACACACTGACACCGCAGGCGGCCCTGGCACAAACAGGAACGATGGTTCTATTTTTGCTCTTTTAACTTGAAAGAAACCATGAGGACGCTGTTCTCACCAGTTAGCTTATTATTGGACAAATAATGTCCCCAAAATACAAATCCATCTTTGTTATAAAATTGATAAGATGTCAGATTATACTTCTGGACTAAAGAATTGAAAACCTCAGGTTACCTGCAGCCTCATTGTTGGCAGCTCCACTCCATGACAGACACCTGCTTGCAGATGTGGTGACATAATCTCAAGGTGCAGTGTAGGCTCACAGCAGAAGATGGACATTTTCAGTGACGTTATTTTACTTTGTAATTTTATCCTTTTTTTTAAACATGGGTCTTAGTATTAGGTTTTCCTTTAGATGCTTATTTGAAAACCACTTACAGAGGACAAAATCCATTTGAAATAGTGTAGAAATTTTTAAAGTTTGTTGCTTGTCAGTTTTTTTAATATTCTCAGTGTAGCTGTAAATGGTTGTGATTGGTCCTCGTGTCTCAGGATTAGGAGTACACCAGCCTTGTGCACGGGCATCCCTGGGGGAGCTTTTAGAAAGACAGCCATGTTGGCCCCACCCCAGGCCCATAAAGTCCGAATCTCCTGTCCGAACCACTTTGTTGACTCCGCTCTCTTGAGCTTCTTAACGATCGCAGTTCTGTTTCTCCCTTCTTCGCCCTTCTTTGTGACTTCTCATTTCTGCAGTGTCATCAGAGCGATAGGCTTTCTTTTCATTTGTTGACAACTTTTATTGTCTTTACTGTTGCTTGAGGCCATTCTAAATATGGAGGGGGCTAGTTAAGTGGAAACTCTAAGATCATTTCAACTCAGTCTAGGATTAGACTTGTGAACTGTGTCACAGAAGATAATGACGGTCAGGAGGGCTGACCTTGTTTCATTTTCAGTTGGCTGAGGAGGGGTGTCCTAAAACCTCAGTCAGGTAACTGTCAGGGGAGCCAGATCTTCCTAAGACGACTGGTGTGGCCAGTCTGTTGCTGCAGCCCCTATTAGTAATCCACTAGTAGAGCAGGCCACAGGCATCGGGCCTCTGGGACTTTCTGAAAAGCATTACAATTTCCAGACTTTCCAATGGCAGATTGGGTACCTGCTACACATTCCATAATAAGCTCTCACTGAAGATGTTGAGTATATCAGAAATCTGGTCCTGGTTGCTGAGAAATGGACAGGTTCTGAACAAGTAAAACCTGTGAAATAGCAAGCAGTACAAGATCTTGTAGTTGCTCTCACTTTGTGTTCAGAAAAATTCACCTATTAGTTAGATCTTGAGACTTTATATGTTTTGCCAGAGGACCAAGCTTGTAAACAGTGAGCATGTTCTCAGCCTAGCTTCCTAAGTCTGTAACCTCAGAACACTGAAAAGTATGCAGGTCTGGACTCCCAGCTAGGGCTGAGCTGCCAAGTATTTACATAGCTCTTTACAAAGTTCCAGTGTGTTTTGGTGGTGGTGGTCATTGCATGGCAGGGACCTGTGTGCAACGTTGAATAGTAATGATGGTAGCAGGTAGTGTTTCTGTTCCTGGTTCTAATGAGGATGATGTTTGCTGCGTGTTTCTGATAAGTACCCTTTATCAAGTGAAGGAAATTCCCTTTTGTTCCCAATTTGCTAAATTTTTCTGTATTTTATATCATGAGCACGTGTTGGACTCTATCAAATGTTTTTCTGCACTTGCGAGGGTTTTTTCCCCCTTAATTTGGTCATATGATGAATTCCTTAGGTTTTCTAGTACTGGCTAGCTTGCTGTGGTTTTTGATGCTCTGGTACACAGCATGTGAAATGGGAATTGCCTGGAAGTTCCATGCAGGTTCTGTGTTCTGGAGAGATCACAAGTCCCAAGTTCCCCAGCACGTCTTCTGGTGGTTGTTACTCCAGAGGAGGCACTGAGACAGAGTGGCCCACCAGGATACGGGCTTAGAAGTAGCATTTTAATTTTTAGCAAGCTCTGTTAAAATCAGAATCATCATAATTATAATTCTGATGCCACTTAAAGGATAAAATGCAAAAGTGCTAGCCCGGCACCTGAGACCCTTTATAATCTAGAGTAGCGCCATCCAGTAATGGGAATGTTCTGTCACCTGCATCGTCCAGTAGAGAAGCCACTGGCCACATGGGGCCATTGAGCACTTGAATGTGCCTGGTGCAACTGAGGAACTGATTTTAAAATCTTTGTTAAATTTAAATTTCAGTTGAAATTTAAGCAGCATGTGTGGCTGGTGGTTCCTGTCTGGTGCAGCACGGGTTGAGAGGCTAGGCCCCGTCGTGTTTCCGAGCCTCCCTTCCGCCACCTCTGGCACCCTTACTGCGCTCGGCTGTAGTTCATTACTCGGCGCTTTGCCGTCCTTCCACGTCTTACGTCCCGCTCTGCCTAGCACGCCCGTCTCCTCCTCACCAGCCACCTGTGAGCGTTTGGATTGGCTGGTTCCTCAGGACTCTGCTCAGAGCTGCTCGGGTCGGAGACCTTCCCACCCCAGCCTGCAGCCCCAGCCACAGTGGGCTTCCCCCTCCGCCCGCATCGCTCTCGTCCACCCAGCACGCTGTCACCAGCGCCTCAAAGTAGGGGTGAAATCTTAGCTCGCTTGTCAGTTTTCAGGCCTTAACACGTGGTAGGTTCTCAGAAAATACCTGTTTTGCACCAGGTTTAGTAAATAGTCCACGGGAACGGGCGTGGCATGTTGAGGGGACAAAGAAGGGTTTTCACGGCTGCAGGGGGAGTTCGGCAATAACGGGCAGTAACTTTAGTTACAGGGCAGGCCTGCGAGGGCTCTTTAAGAGAAGCTGTTTAGATTTGCTGGATTCAGTTGGAAATGAGTATGATTGCACAGCTGGGGGCAAGGGTAGCTTCCTGAAAGCCTGATTCCAGGAAGTGTGTCCTGTGGCAGCTGCAGGCTGGTCTGAGTGCAGCAGAACATCGGTCGGGCTGTCAGCTGAGAGACTGGCCGTGGTTGCAGCCTGCACGGGGAGACCCTGGGCCAGGAGAGGGATGGCGTCTGTCACCCAGATCAGGCTGCCTGTGGGGACACCTTCTTTCTCTGTGGTCACTCTGAGGCCCTCCTGAGGCTGTGCGCATGCTCCCAGCAGGTGGCCGTGCCTCTCAAGTGGAGAAGGCTGCTTGCTAAGGAAGGTCCAGTCTAGGCCCTCTGCTGAGTCTCCAGTGGACTGGCACTCTGGTGAAGGCTAAGGAATCTATGTCACCTTATCAAAGAAAAATCGTGTAGAGATAGGAGACCAAGAATGTCATAGCGAGTCGTACATAGAGAAGGGTTAAGAAGTAAACACTGGAAAGATGAAAGATTCGGACAGCTTGAGAATGGAGTTGATTGTTGGATGCGTTCATTTTTCCAGGCAAAATGTGGGGAGAAAACTAGCAGTGACTTGGATTTACGCCATAGCTTGGGGTAGGGAGTTGAGGGAGGCTTGTGAATGGTGTCCGTAAACGGGTAGGGATAGAAGACAATTGGAAGTTAAGGAGGAAACGTGAGCAGCAGGCATCAGTCACCCTTTCAGAAGGTGGCCAGTAAAAGGGAGGGGAACTGTGTAGCGTAGTAGCAAGAGTGGTCCAGTGTGGTCACGTGAAAGCCCTTTCAAAGCCAAGTTTGCCCGTTTGTGAGTGAAGGCGTTGAAGGCACAGCCAGCGGAAGGACAGGGTATCGAAGGTGCTGCAGGGTGGGGACGAGCTGGACAAGGACGGGACACAGTGGGCTGTTCTGCGGGGGGGGCCGCCCCTTCCCCAGGACGGCCGGAATGGGTAGGGGGGCTTTGGAGAGACCGGAGACAAACAGGGAAGAGGTGCCACATTGCAGTGTGTTTGTGACAGGAGGCACAGAGAGAGGAGAGGGAATTTGAAGCAGAATTAATACTATTGCTTTTTCTTACAGCCAGCAGAGCTAATGGAATACCCTCCGGAGGTGGAGGCGGCGGTGGCATTGGAGCTGGGGGTGGCAGCAGCCAAAAAACTCCTCTGTTTGAAACTTACTCAGACTGGGACAGAGAAGTCAAGAGGACAGGTGCCTCTGGGTGGAGAGTTTGTTCCATTAACGAGGGCTACATGATATCCACCTGGTAAGTCCAGCTTTGACAGTGTTGTTCATGGCTGGGAGTAATCATCAAACTCTGCTGTCATTGATAACTTTCAAGTTATGGCTAGTGGAATATTTATTTTTAATAATGTTTTAATGAATATTTTGTTTTAAAGATAAGGACTTCTTTTTTTAAACATAATCGCAATATCAATATTCATTGAAAGAAATTGGTAATGATTCCAGTAGTATTGTCAATCATCCAGTCAGTGTTTATTTGCGTTCGTATCTTGTACGTGTCTTTTACGGTTGGTTTGTTCCGATCAAGGTCACATTGAACTTGCATGATCTGTCTCAGGCTTTTTAATCTATGATAGTCTCCTTCCATCCCTTTTTTTTACTTGCCTTTTTTTTGTTGTTGTTGACAAAACTAGGTCAGATGTTCTGTGGACTTTTTCCCTTTCTAGATATTTCTGGGTTTATCACTGTGGTGTCCTTTAATGTGTTCCTCTGCCTACTGTATCTGAAATGTTAGCTAGCTCTAGGGGCTTAAATAATTACAGCTGACCTTTGAACAACACGGATTTGAACAGCGTGGGCCCACTTCCACACAGATTTTTTTTTAACGGTAAATACTACAGTACTGCAGGATCCCCGTTGGTTGAATCTGCAGGTGCGGAACCATGGGTGTGGAAGAAGCACATACCAACTATAAGTTACATGCAGATATTCGGCTGCGCAGAGGGTCTGCACACCTAACCCCGGCATTGTTCAGGGGTCACTTGTAATTAGGTTCAGTTCCAGGTTTGAGGCAAGAACGCTTCCTCAGGTGGGCTGGGCACCCCCTGTGGCATCATGGGGGCTCCAGGCATCATTGTGACGCTGACTGACCTGTGGGCCCCACAGCAGTCAGCCTGCTCCACCCAGTGCTAAGTTCCCCTTTTATAGAATGGGTTTAGCTGCCCAAAATGGTTATTCATTAGCAGTGAGGATCATTGCCCAGATCCATTATTTATTGAGGATTGCTACTGGTCATATTCCAGTTTTATCGAACTCTTCTCTCAGCAGCTCTTTAGTACCTGAAATACAGTTTGTATGAGGAAGGCAGTATCAATGTTTACTTTTTCCCCTTTACTTAACCAGTTTTCAGAAGGAGCTGTTTCCTAGAATCCTCCAAAAGTGACCAGAAAATTGTTTTTTAATTTTTTACTTGTTTAATGTTATTTAGTATTCAGATTCGGGGGATGTTTTGTTTTAATGTCATTCAAGTCCTCCTTAGTTTTTTCAGATAAGCAGTGTTGTGAACAAAGTACGAGGACCTTCTAGGAGTGCAGTGCTGAGGAAGGGGCTTGGGGGCACATGGCTTGAGTCTTCCTCTGCTTCCCCTTGAATTTGAACTTTGTGGCCAGCGTGCATTATGTGTTGAGAAGCCTGTGACAGGGCCTGCCTCTGTCCCCTACCTGGCCATGTGAGCAGAGGGAGGAAAAGAGATGTCTTCAGGTGCAGTGAGCTTGCCTGGTAGTAACTGCTCTCTAACCCATATCCTGGAGTCCACCTGCCTTTGGGAGATGGGAAACAGAGAAGGGGGAGATGAGAAGGGGGTGGAAGCTTCTCGGGAGATTTGTGGGCTTGGTTTGGTTTGGTCTGGTGTGCCTGGTATCTCCTACCCATAGCCTGTCGAGAGAACGATGATGGACATGTTTTTCAGAAATTGCGTATGTTTGATTAATAGTCATTCTGGAAAATATTTCAGATGCTTCCTTTGGATTGTTCCCCTGCTATAAGTATAACGATTGTGTTCATTGAGCACATCGCACGCGTTTTAGACTGAGATGTCTAGGCTCATCAGTGGCACCCATGGTGCCCACTGCACGGCCACTGAGTAGGGTGCACGTTAATTAAATGTGGGGTCTGCAGAGCACGCTTATCCTGCCTGAAGCACAGGCTCTTACATTACGATTCGTGTTTTCCTCTCCAGCCTTCCAGAGTACTTTGTAGTGCCAAGTTCTTTAGCAGACCAAGATCTGAAGATCTTCTCCCATTCTTTTGTTGGAAGAAGGATGCCAGTAAGTGATATCTGTTGGATTTCATTAATACTCTTGTCCATTTTTCCACCCAGTTAAGTAAAGGCTCTACTTCTCTCCTAGTTCTGGTGCTGGAGCCACTCGAATGGCAGTGCTCTTGTGCGCACGGCCCTCATAAAAGACGTGCTGCAGCAGAGGAAGATCGACCAAAGGTGAGTGGGAGACAGTCCTTGGTACTTGGGCATCTTTCGTTGTCATAGAGTAGTACAGTAGCCTCCCGACTAGCTAAAGACAGCTGGGGAGCACCGTGTGTTCCATCCAAGAGTTACTGTGGAGAAAATTGAGTATATTAAAATTAACATTTAAGTTATATTAAATGTAGTTTAATACTTTGGCTTATAAAGACACTTGAAGATCTTACATTGCTGACACTTTTCTATAAGGTTGTTTCTAATGAACTTTCAAAGTGCAGTGATTTCCAGTTGAGACACTTGAGGACAAATCAGATTTTTCTTGTAGTTCAGTGTGTCCTAGGTCTGGCAAGTCACGATAACTAAAAGTGGTGTAATTGGCTACCGTGAGCAAGTTTGTTGTCATCTGCCGAAGTCCCCAGTGACCTCCGTGTTGGTGAAGCAGGAGGCCTTTCTCAGGCGTCCTCACACAGTGGGCACCGCTGTTGGCCAGGCTCTCCCCGGGCCCCGGCTTCTGCCCCCCTCCACCTCCTGAAGCTCCTCGTCCGCGCTGCACTCCATGCCCCTGCCAGCCCGTCCTCCTGTCTCCAGGCATGACTTAGAGCTTGTCTCAGGCCACCTCCCCTTCCCATTCCATATTCCCTTCTGAAAGAAGTTCATCTGCATCAGTGGCTTTAGTGACTGTCAGGTTTATATCTCCAACCTAAGTTGACACTTTCCACGTGGAGGTCTCAAAGACCCTTTAAATTCATGTTCAAAACCAAACTCAAGTATATGGGCACCACATGCCCCCTGCCCCCACCCCACCCCAGCCTGCTCTCAGGAACCGAGGAGTCATCCTGATGCCTGTCTTTCACTTCCCCTCACGTCCAGTCCGTCGTCAGATTCTGTCCTTCACTTTTCAGAAACCTTACCCCTCTCCTTCCACCCCAGCTCCACCTCTGCCAGTGTGTTGGAGGGGCCTCGTCCTTCCTCCCGTGTCTCATCCAGGACCACACCCTGTCCCTTCTGGGCTCCGGCCGCCCTGGGGTTTTGCTGGTCTTTAGTATCTCCTTGGCTGTGCTGCCCCCTCCTCCTGGGCCACCTTCTTCACACTAGTCAATGAGCACTCCGCGCACACACACACCCTGCCACACACACACACACACACACACACACACATCACTTGGTACTCGCTCGTTTTCTGCACCTGCATTCAGACATCACTTCCTTAAGATAAGCCTTCCCCTGTCTCCCAAATTAGATCTGGCCTCAAGTTACACATTTGCTATATCACTATAATTTTCTTCTTAACAGTTATTTTGGTTTCTCATTGTACGTGTGTGTTACAGTTTGATTACTGCCTGTCCTTATGAGACCGTGAGGTGACAGAACTGTGTCTGTTTTGCACACCATTGTTCAGCTATATTCAGCACCCAGGAAATACCTGCAATTGAATATTTATTCAATAGTTGTCCAATAAATGAGGAACAAAGGAAAAGATCTTAGAAAACAGGCTCAGAGAGCCTCAGAAATTGTGTATCACAGTCTGTTATTGGGACAGCCAGGTCGTCTGTTTTTTTCCACAGTGCCATAACTGACAGCCACATTTGCTGAAGCAAATAACTATCAAGTGACCCTCAAATGACCCTTCAGTTTTCTGGAGAGGGTGACTGCAGTCCCACAGGTCCGTGTTCTCTCGTGGATTTAAATTTTGCTTTAATCACATTAGTGATTAATGTCCATTCTGTCCTACCTTGTCCTGCCTTGTGGACATGTCGCTGATTAAGTGCTCCGTCAGAAGTGTTGCTATGAAAGGCAAGGCTGCAACACTGTTAACTAGAAAACCTTAGAACCAGTGGCAGTTTTAATTATTTAACTTATGAAGCAAAGAATTACTTTAATTCCCTTTGTTTTTTCAGCTATTCTATTCTTTGTAACTAGGACAGATTCTCTTTGTTGTCCAACCTCATCTCCACCCTTTTTCCCTCAGACACGTCATCATCGCCCCACTGGTCCTCGCTAGGTTTCTCCAACAGCCAGGCTTCTGTTCTACCACAGGACCTTTGCACTAGCAGCTCCTCTGCCTGGAACACTGTCCCCCGTCTTTGCACAGCTCCTGGCCATTTGGGCTTCAGCTCCGGTATCATCGTCACGGAGGAGCGTTTTCTCACCACGTGACCCGAGCTAACCTGCATCCACTCTGTTCTATCACCCTCAGTGTTCACCACGGCCTGTCATCTCTCCTCCATCCCCCTCCCCGCCACCAAGAGCACAGACTGCATGTCCCTCTCTCTGTCCCCAGCCCTCAGAGCAGTGCCTGGGCTCACAGCAAGCACTCAAAAAATATGTGTTGAATACATGAATGAGTAGTGACTCAAGGATTTTGTCTTTATTAGGATTTGTAATGCCATAACTAAAAGTCATCCACAGAGGAGTGATGTCTACAAATCAGATTTGGATAAAACCTTGCCCAATATCCAAGAAATACAGGCAGCTTTTGTAAAACTTAAGCAACTGTGTGTCAATGGTAACTTCATTTCTATTTTATATATATATGTAAATAATGAATGGGTGATTATATGAGGCATTGTATAAGGCATGTTAGGAAAAGTGACATTACTTAAAAATTTAGAAATAGGTATATATTTAAGTAGAGGCTCGTTGAAATATTTGTACAAATTATTATTGTATGAGAATGTCAGAAGCTCTTAGAAAATGAAGTTTAAGCTGCTTTTAGTTTTGTAGGAAAAGTGTACCAATTAAGTCACTCTCAGATCGTGAAAGGTCTGGTAGGATGCTTCTGTAAAAGCGTCTGCTCAGTAGAACAGCCTACTACCTCACAGACAAACTTACGAAGACCTTAATGTATTCAGTTATATTTTGAGATGCGTGACTTGACATGAATTTCAAACAGAGCCATGCTATAATCTGTGCAGCCTCAGAGTTCCCATATGTCTGTTAGAGCAGATGCTTATGGGGTGCTTTCAATGTACCCTGGAGGGATGACTCACTTGAAAGCACCTTTGGTGTGAAGTGTGCACAGAGAGAGCCCCTTGTCACCGGGCAGCAGGACTGGCGCCGGCTTGGAAGGAGAGCTGGGAGGGGGTATGCTTAAGAAACACAGTGACTGTGTCTTTCAGCAGTCCCGTGAGCAGCATGTGGCTGAAGCGTGAGGCGAGGGACACCTCGAGACAGGCCAGGACAGGCCCCGCCAGGAAGCTGCCCCATTTCCTGCAGGGGTCAGCCACCAAGGACATGAGAACCGGGCGCTGGCAGCAGGGAGGGAGGGAGGGGCAGGCCTACGGGGAGGAAGCTGAGGAGGGGGCCGGGGTCACCTAAGCGCTTGCTTAGGGGACGAAGGCAGGCAGACTCTCCAAGATTTCCCTGGGAGAGCCACAGGGAAGGAGATGGAGGTCTGGGGAACGCTTTGTTTTGTTTCTTACAGAATTGTGACGTGCCTTCTTAAATGTTTTTATGACTAATGCAAAGGCGTAACACTTTCTTAAAGCCAGCTTTTAAATGTTAAAAACTGTTGTATCACCTAGCTCTCAATTTGATCATGAAAAATAAGCTTAAGAAGCCTAAAAGTGTTATATGCCTATATATATGTGTGTGTGTATAATTATATATGTATAACTATATTAATTACAGAACCATTTGAAGAAACTGAAGAGAAATGGCTGTCTTCACTGGAAAATACACGGTGGTTAGAATATGTAAGGTTTGTACAACTGCTTTCCTTTTCTCTTAACTTATTTTGAAATAATTATCGAGTCACAGGAGGTGCAAAAATATTACAGAGCCATGCACTCCTCACCAGCCCCCCAGTGGCAACGGCTCACCTAAGTAGACTATGGTTATCAAACCGGGAAACCAACAATAGTTCAAACTACAGTTCTTATCCAGTCTCCCCAGTTTATACGTGCTCTCATGTGTGTTTCTGTGCAGTTTTACCGTGTGTAGATTCACGTGACCACCAGCACAGGCAGGATGCAGAGCTGCTCCGTCACCAAGGCTCCCACCCCCAGCATTTCCATCCCCGTCCCCTGGGAACCACTGATCTCTTCCCCGTCTCTGTAGTTCGGTGATGTCAAGAATGTCATGTAAATCAACAAAGGTTAATGAATTTCCCTGATATAAAAATCAAACTGTACTCTGTTGATGAATCGTATAAGTACTGAAGAAATTCCAAAAGGTTATAGAGAATATAAACATGTATCGTGAAAGATCAGATTTGCTTGACTTCACGTACTTTAAAAAATATATTCGTAGTGGAAATTTGGTTTTTAACAGTATTTTTCCGTTTCTCTTTCCAGGGTATTCCTTAAACATTCAGCAGAACTTGTGTATATGCTGGAAAGCAAGCGTTTGTCTGTAGTCTTACAAGGTAATTCATTACTGACAACACTGGTCCCCCGGCCAGCCATCTTGACTGGAGATCCACACCCAAGTAATTACATGCATCTTAGCCGTCTCCTACTTACTGCATGCCACCAGAGAGATACACTTCAGATCCCGCACATTATTAAACAGTGGCACAAAGACCTCAGACAGAAGAACAGAAAGGAGTCAGACTTTCTGCCCTGTGTTAAATCTGCCTTCCGGTATTATGGCAAGGGTGGGTCACAGCCCTCATTGGATTCAGACAGAGTATTAATCTCGGCAGAGCATCCTTTCTCTCTAATCTTGCTATCTTTCTGATTCATACAAATTTTAGTTGAAATGCCTCTGGCTCATGCTAGATTGTGACTTTAAAGAAACAGTTTGGTATCAAGAAATGGACTGAACTGAGTAGCCAGCAATGTGAATTTTGTCTAGTGTTTGGTAGGAATAGATGGCAATAAAAAAAAAAAATCTTTCAGTTCAGCAAAGGATAATTGTATATTAAATAACTTTATAGCTAATAGCATTTTTAAGCTTATGGATAAAGTTTAATAATCCACAAGCTACCTGATTTTATAATATATTCATGCATAGTTCGTGAATATGCTGTGCTACTGAAGCTTACAGAAGTATTTTTACCAACTGTCAAATTCAACTGACTTTAACAAAGTAAAGTGACAAAAGCCTTAGGGGGAAAAGAAGAAGAGTAAGTCACTGTCCAGCAATCCTTAGCTCATGCCGGCAGCGTATATGTAATTCACAGACGCATGGAGAGCCAGCCATTGAGAACCCGCACCTCTCGCAGCCAGTGGTGTTCTCATCCTGTTCCAGGATGCTACTTAGCTCACTTCATGCATTTGTTGCCATGTAAAATGCCTCAGAAGAGATACTGAGCCTGCATTTTACTAACACTTTATTTTAGAATGTGTTTTCTTTTTTTTTTTTTTTTTTTTTTTTGGGGCCATGCCCTGCAGCATGCAGGATCTCAGTTCCCTTGACCAGGGATCAAACCTGCACCGCTTGCAGTGGAAGCAC